GACGAGGTGTGCGTTAACCCAGCCAGATAATGTCGAAAATCGTCATCCAAGTGCAAATTATAATTAGATATACAGCTTCTGTAAATGGTAAGCAGGTTTTTAAAGGTAAGCTAATAGTTTTTTTAATTATTTGAAAATAACAGTTCTGGCTCGAGTAAAGTTACCGCGGCCAGATCTTTGTTTTCTATTGGGTATATCACACAGTGGAGAACATGGCGACAAACTTAAGTTAAGGCACCTTCCTCTTCACAATGGCCCATGATAAGCGTAATAATGGACACGCACGATTGTGTACAGGATATAATCGTCTATGAGTGGCTAAAGTCGCCTGTAATCACGAGTAATCTTAAAATAAATTGTCGGTACATCAAAGGAATGCAAATCGTAAGTGTACCGGCCTAGATTTAGGGGCCTCCGCTCCTTCGTTGCCCTACACTTCTAAATCTGGCCCTAACCCTCCGGATCACCTGTACAAATAGCACTGATTTATCCCATTAGCACCATTCATTGATGGTACAAATGGTACCGATGTATCCATTAGTAGCATTGTACAATTTCCTGTAATATTAACGTTTTTACATTATCTGAGATAATTTTACTTATAAGTGTATTATTTTCTGTATACCAACATCTGAAACAAAAGGTTTTAACATTTGTTAAAACAAACAGACAGTTATTTAACAAGCGCACCAAATTATTAAAAAGCAGCTTTTTTCGTGTGTTTTTTCGATTGTGAATAAGATTAGTTTTCGATATATCTAATATCAAAAGAAAGGGAAAAAATATAGTGAATAAAAAATAACTAATAATATAAGACACACATATTATACAATACAAAATTTTGAGACAAAGATATATTTCTTGTATCAAAGCAGAAGGGACATTGGGTAAAAATGTATGGACGCTGTACACACGTCCGCCACGGCTTAAACTATTTGTTTGAAAGGTATTATAGTCATGATCATCCGTTTCAAAGCGCATTAAATTCCGTCCTGGGGTCTTTAGTTATTTTAAGTTAAGTAACGAACGAGCATTATAGACCAGGGTCGATAATTTTTGAGACCAAAAAAAATTATAGTAGGATGAAACCCATTAGAAAAGGTAGAGAATATAACAAAAATGAAAGGAAAAATAAATTACGGGCGATCTGAGGTCGGGAAGGGGGAGGGGGTGAGTTTTTAAGGGTAAAAAATGGTTAATCTCGATTTCCGGTAAAACTGCAAGTCCTATGAAAAAAAGTTAAATGGCAAAATCAAAAAAATTACTGTATGTTTGGGACATACAAAGGTAAGTTTTCACCAAATTTCGTGAAAAAATATTTTTTTTTGCAAAAAATAAAGATCAAAAACCAAAAACTCGGTTATTCGCATTTTTCACATAAATTTTGAGGTTATGTGAAAAAAGTGTCGATACAAAAGTTGTAGATCTTTTTATTACCTACAAGTTTGAGATTTAACTTTTTTTCATAGGACTTGCAGTTTTACCGGAAATCGAGATTAACCATTTTTTACCCTTAAAAACTCACCCCCTCCCCCTCCCCGACCTCAGATCGCCCGTAATTTATTTTTCCTTTCATTTTTGTTATATTCTCTTCTCTACCTTTTCTAATGGGTTTCATCCTACTATATTTTTTTTTCACTTTTCACTATTTTTTAAATTATCGACCCTGGTCTATTAATGAAACAAGAGAATTAATTTATGATTCGACCCTACAAAGAGGGCTCTGGTATTATCGGAGTACTTCACAGGGTGCAAAGGTGCCACCTTATGTTATTCTGCTGCGGTAGCGTAAATCCAAAAATCTCCGTTTGGGTTGAGTTTTTTCAAACATTCTATTCGTTATAGTAAATTTTCATCTATGTAAAACAGAGTGACCACAAATCACACAACCTTGTCCACGCCTCGGAGAAAACATGATTCGAGTTCATCCATACTAATTCACAAAACTGATAATCGTGTTCCAATTTCCAAAGCATGTTAGTTACAAATCAATCAAGTGACAGGGAGCGCACAATCACAACGAAGTAAGACGAAGGACTGCATAAGAGTCGACTAGTTGCAACTGCAAGTCCTTCAACCCCAGTACTACCAGAGATGTGCAAAATAGGTTATAAAATGTATTGAAATGCAAAATGCAAATACTTTTTGTATTTTGTTATTTCAAACACAAAATAGTTTTTCATTTTATATTTAAAATACTAAATGCAAAATACGTATTTACAAAATGCTTTATTAAAATAAATACTTTTAGTTTTAAATTATCTTTATTTTGTTGAAAAGTTTATTTATTTTACCCAGCTAACAGGCTGGTAAATTAACTTTGATAACTTACTAAAATTAAATTTACTTAACAGATTTTAATAAAATAATTTGATCAAATGCATCACACAGTTAAATCGGTTTCATACATTTAGTAGTACGGTTAGAGTGAGAACGGTGCCGACACATCACGACAATCAAGTATAGTTCTATATACCTATATGAAACCGATACCTCTCTGACGCCTCACAACACAAAACGACAGATAAGTTTTGATATAAAAAAATAATAGAGGGGTTTGCCGAGGCCATAAATTATCGGCAATAGAGTGCTATAATGACATAAATGAAAAAGCGCCAGATTATCCACTAGGCGCTAATTTTTTTAATTAGCGCTAACCACACCAAAAAAGCGTTAGATCTAGCTCGCAAAGCGCTAAAATGGCAGCACTGGAACGAAAACTCACCGCACGGTAAGGTGACCAAATAATCCCTAATTCATACGAAAAGAGTCGATAATAAACGAAGCCGATCAGACCAAGTTACATAGTTTACTGTAACAAAATTGTAATTGAAGATTGTATTCCATTTAATGTTACATTAATTCTTTGATGTTTACAAAACTTAGCAAAAAGTATTTTGCATTTTGTAAATACAAAATATGTCCTAAAAGGTATTTCAAATAAAATATAAAAAGCTTTTTTAAAAAAAGTATTTAAATACAAAATGGAAATAGGTATTTTGTATTTTAAATACTTTTATTTTAAAAATGTCACATCTCTGAGTACTACTTCCCCGTAAACCGTTTTTAGGTCTCTCAGTAAGTGCAATTGCAGGTCGTTCGGCATGCTTTGTCGTCTTAGATTAAATCAAACGCTTACAGTTTCTTTGTGTTAGTTATTCGCAAGTGTAAAGAATGACCTATCGATTGGTACTAATATCATTAGATTTCTGTTTATAGTATTTGGTGCATGAAACAAAATGTGAAATTTTTTTCGACTCCCCTCGGTCTCCCCTACTAATTAAATTGCTAGCGGAGCTGGGTGTTTTTGCCCATTGTCCTTTAAAAATATTTGTTGTGTTTTCAGTAAAACTTATTTATTTTATGTTTATAACTAATTTCACTGGTTGGTCGCAGCTACATGACTGTTAATAAACTCGTACCCAATTAGTGACACATCTTTGATAAAATCAGTAGTTTCATTGCCTTCGTTCCCTTTGTTTCATCACTTAAAATTTTTATTGAACCCTATTTAATTTTTGATGTTTTTTTTCATGTGTTCTTTTTGGTTACTTATTTTCACTTACGTTATTCCTGTTGTGTACATTTTTGCTGCCCTTTGGCTGTTTAATGTACATTTAAAATTAAATAAATAAGACTTTTGTTGTGAATTGCGTCTAGCATGTGAGTGAACGAATAAACGTTTTGTTTGCGCTAAGTTTAAATTCAATTTTGAAAGATGGTAAGTTCCTCTCCCACCTGGTCAAGTCTCCCGGTTTCCCGTAAAGTTTTATCACTGTGGTTTTATTCAGAGATGTGACTATCTAAGATATGTATCTAAGATAAAAGCATCTAAGATACAGGTATAAAATACGTATTTGTATCTTGTATTTTAAATTCTTTTTTGAAATTTATTTTGTATCTTGTATTTAAATACTTTTTTTCAGTATCTTAGTATTTTGAAGATACTTTTTTTACTAAAATAGGTACTTTTTCTTTTCCTTAATAATTTTCAACATTTTTAAAAAGCATGCCAATGCATGCTTTTTGCATGCCAATGCACAACAATTTGTTATCTACTTAGCGCGTTACTATTCTAAGCCTAAGTGCTTTACTTTTCTATCAACTTTGTTTACCGTGAAAAGAAAATCGTAAGTTTATAAATGTTGCCGTCTCGTTCACCTTAATGTTATAGTTTAGGTGGTAGTGAACAAAAAATACGTAACTTCTCCTAAGTTACGTATTTTTTGTTAGCGTTCACAAGAGGAAGAACAGTAGTTTAAAATTCGTGTCAATTTTCTTTGGTCAGTTTTGTAATAGAGTGAAATTAAGATAATAATCAGGTTATTTTTACAAATAATTAGAGAGAGACCGGAGCTAATTAATGATATCATCTCTTGAACATGACCATTCGTAAACAACCTGCATATTATTAATAATCGCGGTCACCCATCCCAAACCCAACCAACCGTAATCAACCTGCATATTCATAATCATGGTCACCCATCCTCAACACCAATCATAAACACCCTGCACTTTCATAATAAAAAAAAGTACACCGAAACTAAAATTAATTCATAGTTCTTGATAAATACTGAAGAAACGTGAATGCAAGTAAGGTCAATCGTAAGATGATGATGATGAATTTGATCATTGAAAGAACAGCAGCCACGTCTTAAATAAAGAGACATTGTTTTTTAATTATGGATAATCTGGGGCTCATGTACTCAGAGACGGCAATTTACTTTTAAGTTTGATAAAAGTTAATGCAGTTACTTTCTATACACGAGACTCTGAGTGTCATTATGTATATCTGTCTAAGTACGTGAGTACAGCCGCTAGCGTTGTCTGTTCAAGTACTTCTTGTGTAGCCGTCGTCTTGTAAATAGTTTTTCCAACAATGGCACGTAAACGTGAGATCGATTTTGTTGTTTACGTGCGCCGCATCATGGCAACGCGCCAGTTGAAAACCTACTGAAAACATTACATTACACGTTACAAGTTCTCTGGATACAGGAATCATGGAAGAAGATAAGGGAAAGGACGAAGCTGAGGATTGGAAAATATACGAAGCTCTGTGTAGCAAAACCCCTACAGAGGTAAGTTCTCTTCAGTTAGAAAATACCTGGATTTGCTCACATAAAATTACGGTGAATAAAAGGAGGTTTATTAATAAATTCTTCTACTTATCTACACTTTGGTTGGTCTATACCTATTGGTATTACATGTAAAGAATACTTACTAAAAGACGTCAATTTACTTAGAAGTTCAATTAAAGTTAATGTTAACATTTATTACGAATAACGATAACGTTAGAATAGGACAGGACAATATGTGACATAAGAAATATAAAGCGTTAATTTTAATTGACTTTTCTGAGAATGGCCGCAGTTAGTATAGTATCTCTTTTAATGAAGGAAAATGAATGAGTGTACGGTTTATAATACCTGAAGCTGAGTATTTTGTAAATAGTATTACAAAATATATTTTAACATGAAAACATTATGTGCTATATGCAGAAAATAGCCTTCGATACCTTTCGTAAGGAAAATGACAAAAGAACTTACCATTATTTTTTTCTTTCGCATTTTAATGAAATTAACAATTATGTTCTTATCTAATGATTCTTACATCGGGTTAATTGGATTTAAATTACTTAAAAACTAGGCTTGCAATTTGCGCTTTGTGATGTGACCCGACACGCAAATTAACAGTATTTTTTAAGAGAAGAGCCTGGCAAAAGCAATGACGATCTCCTTGGCCGAGTGGTTTGTACGCCGGGTTTCATGGTGTCGCCGACTCGAGGGGTCCCGGGTTCGAATACCGGTGGAGGCAGATGTTTGTGTGATGAATACGAGCATTTGTACTCGAGTCATGGATGTTTAATATGTATTTCTATATAAATATATATGTGCAGTATATGTATTCTATCCGTTACCCTAGTATCCCATAACACAAGCCTTAGAGTGCTTAGCTTGGGGCTAGGCTAATTGGTGTGAGTGTTGGAAATATTTATTTATTATTTATTAATGTAGGCAGGGCATAGCAGATTTTATACCACCTTGTAGAAGATCACAGTAAAATATCACTAGTTACATTTTGGCGGTGTTTTGTTTCTGTCGGTGAGAAGGTTCCAAGGCCACCACGGATTAGGGGTTTGGTTCAGAGGAGGCAACGGCGTGAGTGATTATATTTAACACCTTCATTCGTTTTATCATGGGTACTCAAATTGTAGGATAACGAAACTCTATTGCTAAACCAACTTCATCGGTCGGTCCGTCTGACAGTAGGGTTTATTTTAACAAAACAACTTTCAGGTGCTGTAAGATTTAGTGAAAATAAAATAAAATTGTAAAAGTATTCATTTGGCATTGTGGGTTACCTACAATGCGAAGAGATGGCGCTGCCTTGCAGACTAAGGCTAGAGAAAATTCTACATAGCCGTCAGGGCCGTGGTAGCATAATGGTCAGTGCATTCGCCCGGATAGCGAAGGGTGCGGTTCGAGTCCCGTCTGCTGCCTGGGCCGAATGGATTTTTTCGCGTAAACTTTTCTTTAGATTTAAACATCTAGCATTTAAATGCTTAAAAAATAAAAAACAGAAATAAAATAAAGTTACAACTCAATTATTCAGAAAAACGTAAATTTACAACGATGGTACGAATCCTTCCATATGCTTTCGTCCGACTCGCACTTAATAGGTTTTGAATTAATTTCCAAAAGAAGACACGGAACTTTAGAGCTAACGTTCACGATCGCAGACCGAACGAACTAACCACTACGCCATAGGTTCTACAGAAGAAGTTCTAGTCATCAGTACCCTTAGGTAACCATTATCGAATTCGAAAAGTTTGCGAGTGTGAAATGTCAATGTAAAATTTTATATGAAAACTTGAACAGCAGCGCCACAAAGTACGTAACGAGAACTAAAAATCAGTACCTACACATTTGACAATGACATTTCGGACTGGCAAAGTATTCGAATTCGATATTGGTTTGTGCTAAAGGTACAGATATTTAGAACTTATTGACCTCTTGACTCTTTTCCGATGATTATTGGACATGAGATTTGTAAACTAAGTAAAAGCGTAATTGGGTCGTAATAAATATAGATGGATTACATATAATACTTATATGAAAACCACAACCAGAAAAATCATGGATTAATAAGTTTTGTTAACTATTCTCTTTCACCATTTGTTCTAAGAGAATATCATAACATATTTGGCATTACTTTCAAATGCAACAAGACAATGTTTGATTTTCAAAAGTTAATGCTATTGACATAGATGAATGATTGGTCTCGCTTCACTCGACGAGTGAAGCGAGACCAATCATTTATCTATGGCTGTTGACTATATATTACAAACTGCTTTTATTGAAATAAATACTTTAATATCCTTTTCGTATAGAAATAAGATACCTGCTCATTTAAAGCGTTTTAACTTTAAAATATGAAGTAAAAAGATTTAGTAACAACTTTGAAACGTATCGGAAAAATTCAATTAAAGCAATGGAAATGGTGGTTATTATTTTGTGGCATAGATGAATGATTGGTCTCGCTTCGCTATGTTTTGTGGACATAAAAGCCAATACAAAACAGCTATTGAGTTCTTGCCAGCTAAGTACCTACTTACTTAGTTTACTGGTGCACTTAAAAATAGTAGAGGTACCTAAAAGCAAACCACCCGTTCTTTAGATTTAATTTTTATTTTATATCTTTTGGAGTCATTTTGCTGCTTAAAAAGTGCTTGGATTCATTTTCATTAGAGGGTGCAGGGAGCTTTAAAGTAGAATTTTAAGGCTATTTGCAGTACCTACCCTGACTAAGTAATAATAGATTAAGCTGAACATATTCTCGAAAATTACTTCCGATTTGTACCAGTATTCTTAAGTGGAATTTATAACAAAATCATGAAATTGACCAATGTCATAACACCCATTGAAACCTTATTCTATCCCCCGTTGCCATTTTATTACAATCGCATAAATTATCAAAGACGAAGAGTGTGGTTGCATATTGCTCACAGACTTGCAATTTTTATTTTATTTTGTACCACCAACTGTAATTTAATTTACAAAATACTTATTTTATAAATTTTCTGCGGTGAAGTTCCAAGGTACATAAAGAATACACAATTATTTATTAGCTATAGTATTTCATCAAAAACTTATTAATGAAAGGAGCATTGTATAAACTGTTCTTTACTGAATGTGCATATAAAACTTCACTAAAATCGGTTGAGCCGTTTCGGAGTAGGAGTTCAATTACCCGTGACACGAGAATTTTATATATTACATTATATACAGGGTGGCCGGGGAGTTGACGTTCAAAAGTAAAATTTAGATACTTTATGATGAGGAGTATCCAAATCACCCCCATGTATGTTCTACGATTTTGCGTACTTTTCAAGTTATAATGTTTTTTAAGTTTTTTTCGTAATTTTCACCTAACATCGGTTTTCGATTTTTTTCATTCTGTTGGACGTTTCTGGTTCAGTTTTTTTGTAATAACTGACTAACATAGTCTAACCTATCATCCTAAAACAAAAATGATTTATCTAGGCATTGCAGAATTCACTTAGAATTTGTTCGAAAGTTCAAAATTACGATTTGAGCTCAGTACACACAAATTTTCAAAGTATCAAAAAAAATGTAAATGGGTGATTTGGAGTTCAAAGCGCCTTTAGAAACTTTCTGAAACATTAAACTTTAAAACAAGGTCAAATAAAGATAGGGTTAATGGGGGTTTATTTTCTGTAATTGACCTTCAAAGTAAATTAAGGCATTTTTCAAGGAAAAAAATAATTATTTTCTTTTATTTAAATCTTTGCCTTTCTCTCAGTTATGATGGATTTGAGTAAAACGCAGTTAATTGTTAACAAAATACATTTATTTAAAGCAAATTTTCAAAATTTCGCCCTCCTACAGAAATACACAATCTACATCTGCGCAAAAAATATGTTTTAGGTGCCTAAAAGCTTCACGGTTATTTTTCACAGAGAAGCTTCGAGTGAAGAAGAACTTAGAGCAAAAATTCGCGAGGCTGAAATTTTTGCTCTCAGTTCTTCTTCACTCGAAGCTTCTCTGGCGTACGCAATTTCTTTAAAGTAGCCCCAGATAAAATAATCAATAGGGTTGAGGTCAGGCGAGCGTGGTGGCCAGGCAATTGGCCCTCGTCATCCGATCCACCTGTTGGGGTAGGTCTGGTCTAAATGGCGACACATACAGAAGTTTTTTAGAAGACAATGTACCCATATTACTGGAAGATGTAAATCTTGAATTAAGAAGAACGATGGTGTTCCAGAATGACGGGGCGCCATGTCATTACGAGACACAAGTGCGTCGCCATTTAGACCAGACCTACCCCAACAGGTGGATCGGACAATTGCCTGGCCACCACGCTCGCCTGACCTCAATCCTATTGATTTTTTATCTGGGGCTACTTTAAAGAAATTGCGTACGCCAGAGAAGCTTCGAGTGAAGAAGAACTGAGAGCAAAAATTCGCGAAACTGAAACCACTGTGAAGAATAACCGTGAAGCTTTTAGGCACCTAAAACATATTTTTTTGGACAGATGTAGATTGTGTATTTCTGTGGGAGGGCGAAATTTTGAAAATTTGCTTTAAATAAATGTATTTTGTTAACAATTAACTGCGTTTTACTCAAATCCATCATAACTGAGAGAAAGGCAAAGATTTAAATAAAAGAAAATAATATTTTTTTTTCCTTGAAAAATGCCTTAATTTACTTTGAAGGTCAATTACAGAAAATAAACCCCCATTAACCCTATCTTTATTTGACCTTGTTTCAAAGTTTAATGTTTCAGAAAGTTTCTAAAAGCACTTTGAATTCCAAATCCCCCCATTTACATTTTTTTTGATACTTTGAAAATTTGTGTGTACTGAGCTCAAATCGTAATTTTGAACTTTCGAACAAATTCTAAGTAAATTCTGTAATGTCTAGATAAACCATAAGTTTTATGATGATAGGTTAGACTATGTTAGTCAGTTATTACAAAAAAACTGAACCAGAAACGTCCAACAGAATGAGAAAAAAATCGAAAACCGATGTTAGGTGAAAATTACGAAAAAAACTTAAAAAACATTATAACTCGAAAAGTACGCAAAATCGTAGAACATACATGGGGGTGATTTGGATACTCCTCATCATAAAGTATCTAAATTTTACTTTTGAACGTCAACTCCCCGGCCACCCTGTATATATAGCTCGCATTAGAGTGCCCGTTTAAGGCACCAAATACAGTCAAAGTTGAAAAAGTATTTGAAATTGGAACAAGTATTTGATTCCTACTTAATTCATATCACCAAAAATACACAATTTTATTGAATAAATATATATAATAACCTCTGGCCCTGGCAGTGTATCTAATTTGTAACTGCTCTCAACTGCCATGTCATAAAATATATATCATCATTAAAATCATCAATATTACAAAACTAGGAAGTTCATACTACCACTCGGTAATAACGTACTTTGCGTAACTACTTGAAACCCTATGGTTGTTATTTATATTTCACTGCGACAAGCGTACCTTGGGGTAATCTCGTGCCTCGTACGGATTTCTCTAAATCGTATAACAGTTACCATATTACGTTCACTGTAACCCACGGTCTGTCCCTTGAAATTAGGGCATATTCTTTATAAAAGGTCAACGAAAGCATGCTTTTTAGGGTAGCAAGCACAGTGACCTCCTTAACTTCCCTACCGGGCCATAATTTGATGGTGCACATCGGTCGTCTCATGTAAATTATCTACAGACAGGTACCGACTAATCCGACTTCGACTAAGCATCGGGATATCGTGACGTGACCCTCCGTGGGCTTGTAATAGCAACCCTTATCACGCTACATTCTAACATGAACCTCTTGCATTCAGTAGTCGTCTTTTGCACGCCACGATAAACCGTTTCTTCCTGTCGGTAATAATTAAATACAAAAAACTTATGGATTTGTGTGAGTTTTAAAATTTAATTAAAAGTTCAATTATCTATAATACAACATTGTTGCCTTTACACGCCTTACTAATTTAAGAGTGTTATAACAAAGTAGGTACCTTTATAACACAATAAAATTTATTTAAATCGGTATTTTTCTTGGTACATAATGTATAAATTTTATACACACATACATGACAGAACTCATAAAAACTAGATAATTGGAAAGAAGTATTAATTTTCACTTACCACAATAACAGATTATTAAAAATATATTAATTACAGATGGAAGCAGACGCGGGCAATGATATAATTACTGCACTAAGAAGTGATTTAGCTGCACTCCAATACAAAAGAGAAAAGTTAATATCAGAGGTAAACAATATCTATACAAAAGAAATTAAAGGTAGTCGTTTTTCTCAATGAAAATATCACGTAAGTAGTAAATTCATCCTCTTTACAGAACAGCGATTTAAAAAACCAAATGCTTTCGAGAGATCAGAGAATCTTAGAGCAGCAGGTAGAAATAGACCACTTGCGCGAACAGAATGCTCGACAAAATGCTATTATATCCTCACTCAAAAAGAAGATTCAAGACCTCGAAGAAATTAACCGAAATATACAAGCATCACACGGAAGAAGTGATTTAACAGTGCAGACATTACAAAGAGATAACCGCTATTGTGAGGAGAAAATAAAAGATTTGGAAATAAAGCTCCGTTCTTTAGAGATTGAATGTCATAATGAAGAACAGCAAAAGGAAAATGCCCGATGTCAGTTCCATGATCTCGTAAGACGTCTCTCTGCGGCGTTAGATTCTGATTTTTGTGACACCACACATACTCATTCACCAGAAAGTCTCATAATAAAAGCAGCTGAATTAGTTCAAGAGATAACCAGACTTAAGAATAAATGCATGAACACAACAGAAAATTTGTCAACGGTAGAGCAAGATTTCAGAAGCTGTCGAGATACATTAGAGAGAGCGAATGCTGACAAAGATATGCTGCAAAGGCAGTTTTCTTCCCAAATTCTTGAAACCGAAAGGTTAAAACAGGAGAAGGAATCTTTAGCAGTTCAAAACAGGGTTATAGAGCGCGACTTGCATGAAGCAAGAGAGAAGTTATCTCACTGTACTAAGAACCTTAATGTGGTCACTGATAATGTCAATCAAAACGAATCTATTATTTTGCAGTTAAAAGGTAAAACTGTTAAAATAAGTACTTCTTCTTGCCTATGATAATAATTATATTCATTGAGTTTAACTATGTTTTTAGAGGATTTAAGGCATCGCGAGGAAAAATATCAAAGGCTTCAAACAGAATACCGCAGTACATTGGAATCGATAGCAATTCTTCTCAGTTTGCCTTCGAGATTTGTAGAAGCTCACGAAAGTACTATTAAGGATAGAATTCGTGAAATATTAAGCGATAATAAAGATAAATCTGTGGTAAGCCATCTTAATTGTTGAATGTTGTCTCTTGGTAATAACATTGAACAATATATTACTAATTAAAATTAAGAAATAAGTAACTAATACTTATCTAATATTATTTAAAATCTTGTAAACAGCAAATCGAGGCCTTACGAGACAAATTGAATATGGAGTCACAGCAGCTAAGCCGAACTGGACATTTACATGATCAGGCTACTACCCGAGTTCGTGTCTTGGAAGACGAGCGGAACATTCTTGAGGCTAAAGTTCACAAACTTGAGTCAGAACTTAATGCAGTGGAAGTTTCCAGAGAAAGTTTACGAAAGGATAAAGCTAATGTAAGTAAATACTTATTTTGATTTTTAGAGGTATGCGAAAATAATACGAGTAGGTAAGAGTATCCGAGTCTGTGTAGAACAACTACTGCTTCCAAATTACAGTACAGTTATACATACACAACGTAAAATTTATATTTATAGTAGGTAACGATGTATAACTGTGTTGCAGCAATAAAAAAACTTCTTATTATAAATTCTAATAAGTTCTCTTGTTACAATTAAGTATTATAAATTTGGGCCGAGTCGACTAGACGAATAAGTATTCTGTGCTTTAAAGACACTTGCAATTGTGTATTTCCAAGAGACCTAACCATTGTACCTATATCAATAAGTAAGTATAGTAATAGTTTCTGATTGAGGACAATACTACAGTTCGTGGCGTTCCTGGAACGGCTCAGTCGGACTCTGAACATGGATGAACTAACACATGACATAGGCATCGAACTTCACACTGAGTCCATTATGCATCGAGCTGAACAACTAGCACGACTTGAGAGCGACAAGATCGTAGACAAGGTTAGTTTTTAACGATATTAAAAGTTTCTTTTTACAGTATTATATAAATTGGTTAGTTCCATTCATCCTTATAATCAAGTTATTTAACAGGACCAAACAAATTTTGGATTACTACTTCAATAATTGCTCAAATCACATTAGTAAGTAGTTAGTACGGACTCGTTTTTAGTCTCTTTGTGACTTATAGAAAAAAAAGCTAATAAACGTGTTTATTGATCTAGGTAATATTTGTTTTATAACCAAGTTTTTCAGTATACGAGCACAGACGAGAAAGTCTGTTTATTTATTGTAATATTATCTCCTAGACAAAAAATTCATAGAATATCTAAGTTCCCTAAGTTCATTTTCTCTAACTGACGTTATAAGTGGATTCTCCTCTATCTGTAATGGTCTTAATGGTTTATTTGTAATCTTTGTATAGGTGAATTTTTTAACTGCACATTCCCGCTCTATTATAAGTTAAGGATAGTTTCGTTTCATATTTAATATAATGTATGTGTGTTTTCTGTAGATGCTATATTACGGGTACTACGGCACGCTGCCGAGACTGCGGAGAGAAAGATCTTTCCATGACTTGCCTTATCTTAAAGAAGTAAGATATCACTCCCAAAGGGCATGCAACAGTCGTTCGTTACTAATGGCACAGGCAACTTAATACGTAATTAGCCGTCCGCAAATTACTTTGTTATTGGCACTTAATGGTCTGTAATAAAAGCAGTTACAATGCGTGTTTGTTATGATACACGTTTTATCATACTTAAGTAGCTGTGTTTTATTGACTTGAAATTCGTATTTGCTCCTACTAGCTTATCTAAAACTGTTGTTTGTTTAGTTTCGGAATATATTAGTTTTCTAGGGTGGCCCTAGAACTAGAACGGGCTAAAAGTAGACCAAGTAATAACATCATTATTATTACAGAACCTATTAAAAGGGAATCAATCATATCATACCTACTCGTTATGAGATTATTAGACTTTGTATCTCATAATATTTAATACTTTAATGCTAAAATTAAGCCTCGATGACATGGTTTACAAGCTGCAAGCCAGCAAGTTCGCTAGCAGCTTGTAAACTCACCCGAGTCATCGAGGCATTAGAACATGTTCTAATTCTGTTATTTTTACCAAATATTTTATGCCTTTTCCTATTTTAGTAAATCCACAATAAAGGACACTTTATTTTTAAAATAGATAAGTCGCATTCTAGCATTGTTTCCAAACTGTTGGTCTAGCTTTAACTTCTGTCGGGGTCGCACTCACCGCGGGACACAAGTTAGGGAAGATGCAATATTTTTATTTTTGTTTTCATTTTAAAGAATTCCATGTAGAATAAACCACAGATATATTAATAAATTAAAACATTGTGATTTATCGGAAAAAATGCGGTTTTAAATTGACAATTTAAATTTTCGCGCGAAAACGAATCTATGGTTGCGATGACGTCACTCCTGTCTGTCACTGGTCGTAATTGTTCGTTGCTGGCTTTAAATTTTCATACTTTTGCATATTTTTTCGACTTTCGAAATATTTTTTTGAAAAATTTAAAATGAACTATTCATCAACATCATGTGATCATAACAATACTACTAATATTCCGAAAAAAAGCCGTGTTGACTCATGTTTTGTGCCAATCTACTTCAACAAAGTTCCCAAATAAATTGTTTTTGACTGGAACTTCTGACCCAAAACTGAAAAAAAAGTGGTTTCAAGCTGCGAAGAGAAATGACAATTATTCTCCAAAGACCATTATTCGATGCTGAGAAGATCACTTTGACGTAAGTCGGCGAATATACTTGTTATATGCTTAATTAATCTGCTTGTACGTAACCTACCTAATACTTACAAAACCTGTCTATAACATATTTTTAATTTTACAGTTGGAGAATGACATCGAAAATTAGATAAAGTTTAAAATGTGTGGCACAATCTTCACATTGGCAGGACTGAACCAAGCTTTGCGTTTCATTTAAAATAACTGTAACACGATAACCTTCTTTACGTTCTTTATGCTCCGGAGAACTCGACCTTTTACTGTACATAATTTTCCATCTCCTTTAATTTGGACATAGCCGATTGCATTATCGCCGTAAGATTTGTAGAAGCCGCTGAATAAAATACGAAGTTTAACAACTACGATTTTTACATACCGTAGTAATTTAGTCCCTTTCATTTCTACACTTAAAAACTCTGCACTTTAGACAAAAAAAGTTATAACCATGTCAACGCTAACTCTTGGTAAATTCCTGGAGTCTGCTTTGATAAACGCAACTTCCATTTTTATTAAATGTAAAAAAACGCAATAAATATTCCCACAAAATAATATTTACTTTAACAACCATAACCTCAAAGAAGTTGTCATAACAGGAGTGACGTCACTAAACGCTGATTGGTGTTTTAAAATACGTTCCGTTTCAAGTATTTTTAATTCGTAATAATTGTTAAAAAACAACATTATATAAAATAAAAACGTTGCAGTGGCATTTCTTTTATATTTTTTCAACATTTTAATCATAAAATTTTCATAAATATTATATATGCATCTTCCCTATTGTACTTTTTAATAGTTGCTAATGCCAGTCAATTTATTTGGATATGTACACTTTTTATCTACGCTCAAGATTGAATTATGCAAATCTAGCATGAAGTACAATCAGCCAATTTGATTCCTGACCCACCATTAGCTCATTTTGTCTCAGCCATTTTAAAATTTCAAAACAATATGGTAGATTTATGCTTAAATGTACGTATCCCTGGAAACAAACTTGTTATTTTCTAAACAACCTTATTTGACGTGGCAGATTTTGTCGCACTCCTGTCACATAAATTTGATACTAAATTATTTGGAGTTTTCCCAATTCGTTTATAATATCCAACTTTTTTATAATATCAAAAAAATCGAAACAGTTTCTGTTACATTTACGATTTTAAAGGTGGTTTCGAATTTCAAACTACTATTCCAATTTTATTTATAACAAGCATTGAAAAAAAAAGGTAAAATTTCAAACACACGCACAGACACATTAATTTTGATGCTTATTAACAGTTTCCTTGTTATAAGGAGGTCCTAAGTGCAATTATGCATTCTCAACAAAGAAAAACTTATCTGTTATGACATTTTAAGCGAATTATCAGGCAAGTGGATCAGGAATCAATTGGTTCAATAGTACATAGAGTAGACGTCATCATAGTACCCATCCTATATTTAATATTTCGGGCTAAATTTTCTTTAAATTTCTCCTTACAAAATATACCTATTACATTACGTTTAATTTAATCATGTATAAGAATTAAACCGCATTTTAGAGGTAAATCTTATCTACGACTACGCAGTGACTCGATGTTAATTTTAACATTTAACAGTCGTGTGATTTTGAAGGAAATAATAACTCCTTTTGAGATATAGACCTATTCGATGCTTTTATTCCAATTTTCTTTATCATCATTAGTATATTAGAGTCACATTTTCTTCAACATAGACCTTATTACAATAGCAGAAGAGCACTTATACCTAATAGCGATAACTAGGTACTTATAATTTATTCACGCACCTATCGTACAACTTCAAGTTTCGTTAACATTGCAAGTAAGTAATTACACGCCCAATTTACAGACAGCAGTAGTCTACCAGTTGCAACGCAGAATCAGGATTCTTAGAGAGCAGCTGCAAAGAAAGGATTTACATTTGGATTTACTTCGTCGCAAACTAAGCATACAAGTAAGCAATAGTTTTAACATTGATTGAACGATATTGATTGCTTGTAAGTAATCATATAGCTACCAGTTTCCCCTCATTTCATCTTGTTTGTCTTATTTCGTTGACTCTAGATGGATTGTCAGTGGACTATAGGATACTAAATCTGTAAAAAAGATTGTACTAATATTGAAAACTGAAATTCTTATTACTTATCTCTAATATATATATATATAATATATTGAAGAGCAACCTTTTTAATGCTTAGGAGTGCCCAGTGAACCAACGCTGACGCTACGCTGTGGAGCATTCTACAATCCGTGGTGTCGCCGGCGTCAAAAAGTTTCTTCGCATTTTATATGAATATTCATATTATTTTTTAATAAAGTTTATTTACAGTTTGTTAACTATATGCCATCTTGTAGGTGGGGACATGATCCCATTGCTATGGATTTTTTGAGGATTCTGATCAAAAACCGCAACAAGTGGTTTTAGACATTCCTCTCGTGACACTGCCTTAAAGAATTCTGCAGAAACCGAAACAGGTGAAAATCTGAAGGTACAAGGTCGGGACACGTCCCAGTCAAACTCTCTTAATCTTTGCTGAGTGGCTAAAGATGAGTGAGGTCTAGCGTTATGATGATGAAAAACCACAACCCTTCTGTTGATTAATTCCGGCCGCTTTCTCTCATCTTCTTGCTTAAATCTCATCAGTTGTTCGCAGGAGAGTTCAAACTCGATGGTCCTGCCTAGTGGTAACATTTCATAATGAATAATGCCCTGACCACAACCTTTTTCGCACATTCTTGTCGTACGTGATCCACTTTTCATCACCAGTTATCAGCTTCTTCAAAAGTGGTTCGGTTTCATTACGTCGTAATAAATAATCACAAATGAGTACTCGGTTCATTAGGTTTCTTTCGGTGAGCTCATGACCCACCCACCCAAATATCGAGCTTTTTGTGTACCCACATTTTTTCGCATTTGAAAAAAGGTGTACTATTTTGTGGTCAATTACCAGTTCTTCAGCTACGTCGTAACTACTGATATGCCTATCTTACTCCGCTTTTTCAAAAATGGCATCCATTTCCGCTCTGGTTAGAGCGACGTGCATCTTTGACATCAAAATTTCCGGATTGAAAACGCTCAAACCAAATTTGTGCTAATCGCACAGACACTGCACTAGGTCCATAAACATCACAATTTTTTTTCGCAGCTTGCGTTGCATTTTTATCTTTTTTATAGACAAAATTTAAAATTTATCGTATTTCTTTACTAGATTCACTCATCTTGAAAGTAACAAAAACAAATGAAAATCACACATTTTTCTTTTTTGGAATCTTCTTTAAAATTTAAACTTTTTAATGATACCAAAACCAGCCAGATACAAATAGTATAGTCAAAAAGATTTTATTACAAGTTCATACATACTATAATGCCAAAAGACTTTTTCCCCAACCAACAATTATATAGCCTCAACCAAATAAAAGGCTATAATAAAGAAAGAACCTTGCTTAATGGCAAGTTACAAGCGGCGCAAATCACCTACATGCGCTTTACTTCATCACATGCTGTTTTAACCGCAACAACATTTACAATACTGTGATGACGTCAGTTTCTCAGCAAGTAGCTTGGCTCTTAAGTAGCACTTAAGACTGAGTGACCTACTGCAATTAGGGATGGCGATTCTTTCCGAAAAAGATCGATTTTTAAATCGATTCGAATCGTGACCTAATGAATCGATCCACAAAAAAATCGGGGCCAATAAGATCGATTTCTGAAAAATCGATCTTTGTTTAAGTTTTTGTTTATAATGTAATATAAGTCTATTTTTTTAAAAACAAGATACATATTACAATTTAATGATCTCTTATCAGTAAAATCAGGTGATTCGATGATAAAAAATATTTTTATTCAAAGATTACAAACAAACGTAACTTTTTTTATTAAAACGGGGAGAAGGAATCCAAACATATAGCCATTTCGCGATTTTTTTTATAATTAACGATTTTACCGGCAGCACTCTTATAACGGGTACATTCAAATAATTGTAAATACTTTTTTGGTTTATACCAAATAAATAAAATAAAATCGAATGTCGATTTTCATGGGCGTAATATCGATTCAGAGAATCGATTCTGTACTACATATCGATTAATAAAATCGATCTTTTTGGCTCAAAAAATCGATTCTTCGATTAATCGATCTCAGATCGCCATCCCTAACTGCAATGCAATGCTCTTTGAAGAGTAGCTTTTTAATCTTTGTTAATATCGTTACTGTTCATAAAATGAAGTAAAGAATCTTTCGCCCGTTCTTCTCAACAGCTAATAAATTTGTAAGATGTAGGTAAACTTTTGCCTAACATTAAGGTAAGTACATTATATTTTTTTATTGTGATCACCAGGAAGAAAGCTCCCGCGTCCGAGCAGTTCTACAGGCAGAACGTGACGAAGCAGTGTGCAGAAGTAAGAAGCTAGCGCGCCAATGTGACAAGCTCACAGTGCAGCTCACCGACGCACGCGCACAGCTCAGGGACCTGAACGCGCAACTCGCAGACGCCGCAGAATATAAGGTAAACACCCGATGGCCCGAGGAGCACGATGGCGCAGGTGTTAACGCATTCTATCTGCAATCGTGGTAGTTAAGAAGTTTTGCAAAGAACGGTCATTGGATGGGTAACAGGTCTGCAGTCGTTAGCATCCACAAATCCGGACAGGGCCCGCATCATGGACCATTCTCCCTATGCCATCTGTTATGAAAGCCTGTGACCCAATATTGGGGACATTAATAGGTTGATGATGATAGATGGCCTAGATCATTAGATGTGACGGGCCTATACCCACTAAAACTCTGGGGTTTGCCCTCCTTGCCAACACAAAGGCATGGGTTCCTTATTGGGAATCGACCACATCAACAGAAGTACCACCTGCTTATTAAAAGCAAATTTTCGTATACCAAAGAAACATCCATTAATATTATAAACGGCATTGAAACTACGCCTGTCTTGCTAACTAAAGCGTTTGATGACTCTTGTTATTTAAACACGCAAAATTGTTCCACGCAGACATTTAATGTTACTTGGAATCTACCGACGTCAGTAACGTAATTTTATTTTACTTAGTAATAAACAGTCACTCTAATAAAAGGGAACGCAGCGCATCGGACGAGGATCAAGCGAATGACGATGCGGAACGCTTTCCTAATGATTGTATCACGATATGCTTAGTCAGCTAGTACACGCGCTTGTCGATGCCGACGACCGTAGACCACATTTTATTTTGCTATCTATTACAAATTTGTTAACGAGCATCCGACTGCAAACTCGGAGTAATTTTTGGATTGGATTGGAATTTCGGTTGGATTAATTATATCATTCTGTAATGAGAAAATTAAAAAAAACTTACCTAACTAGTTTTAAGGCAAAAGCACTGGGTGAAGACAAATTTTCTTAATAGTCCTTAATAAATATTTCATTTAAAAATTTCTGAACTTCTAAAGGTAATTTTGTATCATAATTCAACCAGATCAATTGCATTGTAAAAGATCGAGTTGGATTAAAATAAAAGAACATTATATTATTGCGCTTCCGCGAAGTTCCATAAATTGTAAGATTTGTAGCTATGTCCCTGAATAGGTAAGTAACTCAGAAGTCAGATTTGTATCATTAACTATAATAAAGATGAGGAAGGATGACTGTATCATCATAACTTTTCTTAATTTTAATATTTTTTTTATCACCAGTAAAAAAAGATTCATTTCGCGTACTTACTTGTAGCTAGATTTGCATCAACCAATAAAATATAGCGTTATACACGACCGTGGATTTGTTGCAATAATTTAATACAAGGTTAAAGTAATTTGATTAATAAAATCGTGATGTCATTCAAAATCGCCTTACTTATTTGAAAATAGGTGTCGGTAAATACGGTATTAAGTAATTTCGTCACAAGAGGTACGTAATTATGAAGGGGAGGTACACGAAGGAATTTAACAAATTGTGTGTTTACTTGGAAGTTAGAGTTTACTTACGAATTAAAGGAAAAAACAAACAATTTGGAAGACAACACTTGGTGTAGGCAGGTTGGAATAATTTTAATGAAACTTGGTCCTCAAACTCACTGCTGAGCTGTATATAAAGTCTCAAATTTTAAAATAATAAAATAACAATACATCCTTTTCAGATAACATCGTTAGAAAGGGCTCGCAAAATCGAAGAATTACAAAAGAAACTGGAGGAAGCGGACCTTCTTCGCGCGAGATATAATAGAAAAGTGAACGTCCTCAAAGACCAAGTCCGTGCTACTGGCGAGACTTTCGAGCAAGAGAGGACAACTTCCGAACACCAGATAGGAATGCTAAGAGACGACCTGGCACGAACTAAGGAAATGCTCATGGAGTGCCAGAGGAGAGAGGCTCAACTACAAAGCTTCCGGTGAGAATTTGTAGACTTCGATGTTGCAGGTTTGCCGACAGTTAGCTCTGTCACATCAATTTCTTAATAACAATAGAGACAACACGTGACTATAAATTAATTTGTCGTGTCTGGATTTCCCTCCACCCAGATTTAGTATTAAACATCAATAAACAACCCTCAGATCGAGTGGTCTAGAGGCTCCAGACGGAGAGGAGACTCCACCCGTGGGGAGATGCCATCCGCCTGGAATACCTCTAGAGGCAACCGCTAATTCTCGGCTTGAGGTCCCCTAAGGATCTCGCCGTCCCCAAACCCGGGGACGCTGTAAAGGTCATCTGAGTCCAATAGCATTCACACTTAAAAAAATATCAAAAACACGGGATCGCTAAGATTATAGAAGATTAATAAATAACTTTCTCATATTTACACTTAAAACATTTCACAAACAAACAAAAAGATCCATCAATGGATCGTTGCAATGGATTTAAGTGGATCGTGGGAATTAAAACGATTAATCCAAAGCTTACAGCATACCTACTACATTTAATTTCTATGTTATATTTTGAATATATTTTTTTTAAATCGGGTAGGAAGACAATGAAAACCTGTTAAGTAAATTTTTAGGGAGCGCTTACACTGCCAGTATCGAAATATCTCCATTGGGAACCGACGGTGGAGATACTGCAGGTAATCAAGATTTAAAATTATGACTGCGTTTGATTGGTTTCACCAAAGCAAAGCGCGAACCGAGCGAGCGAAGGGTAGACGACGCCGCCGCTGGGTCGGGCAGCGACCGGCGAAGGCAGCGACACTCCCAATATTAACAATAATAAATAAGATAAATGGAGACGGCTTTTGGTGTAGCATATAGATAAAATAAGAAGAAGCGAAGAAATAAGGTATATCTAAATAAGATCTTAACTAATCGAAGCGTCTTTTCAGAAATTCAATCGCTAAGCTGCTGGGAATATTAGTGCCTGCTTCGGTATCGGACTTTGAGATGGTATCGCGGCTTCAGAAGCTAATCGATGCGCACCACGACTTCACGGTGGTGTCACGGCGGTACGACGACCCGGCGCTGCTGCGGGCCTCCTCGCGCTCGCCACCACCGTCCCGCTGCCGCACCAGGACTCCAGACAGGTAAAGCACCTGATCAATGCGCACCACGACTTCACGATGGTGTCCCGGCGGTACGACCGCTGCCGTCCCGCTAACGCACCAAGACTCCAGACAAGTAAAGAAGCTGATCGACGCGCACCACGACTTCACGATGGTGTCCCGGCGGTACGACGTCCCGACGCTGCTGCGGGCGTCTTGACGCTAGCCGTCGCCGTCCCACTGCCGCACCAGGACTCCAGACAGGTTAAGAAGCTGATCGACGCGCATCACGACTTCACGGTGGTGTCCCGACGGTACGACGACCTGGGCCTCCTCGCGCTCGCCGTCGCCGTCCCACTGCCGCACCAGGACTCCAGACAGGTAATAGAAGCTGATCGACGCGCACCACCACTTCACGGTGGTTTCCCGGCGGTACGATGACCCGGTGCTGCTGCGGTCGTCCTCGCGCTCGCCGGTAGCTACATGTCTGGAGTCCTGGCAAGGTAGCGGGACGTGACGTTCAGGGTGCCAATCTATCCTGCTAAGTTATCGTAATATCGTATGATAACCTCTGTGGTGCACTTGTATGTATGGTGTTATTTCCTATACTATGATCATGGCTTTGCCGCTTACTATTTATTATACACTAGTTTCCGCCCGCGTCTTCGTCAGCGTAAACTTTACTTTTTGAGAATCCCACAAGAACCTAAATTTTTTCTGGTATAAAAAGTATCCTGTGTCTCAATAGAGGTTTATAAACTATATGTGTGTGAAATGTCATCTAATTCCATTAGCAGCAGTTTTTGCGTGATTGAATAAAAAACAAAAACATACAAACGACCACATTTATAATATTAGTAGGATTCTGTTAGAATCTGAACTGTTAGTTCACTCCATTTAAATTCTTAAGAGGTTGGCAAAAGGGTGTGTCAGAACGTGAAGCATAAATATAATTATTATACATGTCACTGCCAAACTCACTTGGCGTGGGCTATTGATGTTGTTCTCCGGAAACAAAGTGACAGGTGGCCAACTCTAAGCCTACGACTGTTTCCGAAGTTGCCCTGTCCGTTCATATACTTTTACTTTTCTAATAACCACCGACATCTTAGACCTGAGAAACACCAAAAACAAATGAACTTTTTTTTATATCCTCTCAAAGCCGTTTTCATTAAGATGCCACTTAAGATTTTGTAACAAGTCCTGACACATATACTTAAATATACCTCTATTTAAGTATATGTGTTTCAATTAAATATCTATTATTATTTTGATAACAGATCTCTGCGTTATGACGACTCGGGCTACGCGGATCCCGCGTTCGACCTTGACGACGAACTGTACAAGACACGCGCCGCCATGTGACAATCGCGACGGCGAACCCGCTTTTAAGGGTCCGTGATCGACACCTGGGTTTTTACCCTGGATATAGTAACATAGGCTCTGAGCAGGTGGACTGCATTGTAACAGCACTCCCAATTACTGCCGAACTGGGTCTAAAGTAACAAGTTTGCACGTTTAATACCTTTTGTGGTTCATAATTTCATATTTTGAATGAATGAATCTCTCGATTATATTTTTTTTTTCATACTTTTTGCTTTTTACAATTTTACCTGCCTCTTTAAGTATATTATTGTCAGTATTAATGTTAAAATACACAACAGTTATAAAATCATAATTGATAATAATTACAGTATGGGTAATTCTTAATAACTTACCCGATGAAGTTGTTACTAATAAATCATGTTTGTTTGCGTAATCTATATCCACACCCCATTTATATGTATATTCAAATTAGCATAAACAATCAAAGCCGTTTCGACCATATTTTATAATATTGATTAACGAGTAATTACAAATAAATGCCTGCAAGTTTTTTTTTTTTATTTTGGTTGGAGTATTTCGTCTTGATTTTTTGGGACGTTGTCTTCCGTTTAAGGGTTGTCAAAAATTTATGGAATTTAATAATAAGTGTATTCAATACAATTACTAACATAATCGGTGTTTAATAAGAATTCACCAGTGTTAAGTTTATGTTTGTAATATCTAAACAATATAAGCTTTTTGTTAAAATTCATATTTTATAGACAACGGTAATTGTAATTCTAATAATCAACTAATGTTAAATAATAATATGTGAATTAAACTAAGTTAAATTATTATAGAATCATTACGAAGCTAGTCACAATCGATCAAATAAATATTTCGGTACCTATCTAGCTCCATGTATGGTCCAAGCAAGGACAGCCACAGGTAAAAATAATTTGAATTGACAATTTCAAATAGCAGGTTTCTGCACCACAAGTAGTGTGTGTGTATTTTTTAATTCGATTCGTATTTTTTTACAAAATTGAATTCTTGTTTTCACCTAATTTGTCAAGTTATTTAAAAAAAGAGGTTATGATGAAAATGGATATCTTAAAAACCAGTAAAGGCGACCCTTAATACTGAAAATAGGTAGGTAGTTAATACTTAAAATGAATGAAAATACTGAAATATGTAGGTACCTACTTATTAGCAAATTTTCTTTTCAAGTAGTTTGACCAGATGCGTAATTATACCGTTTTGTTCGCCAGCTCCTCATATATTATTTGTGATTACTTTAAATTCCAAATAATAAAAAAAACTAGTAAAAATCACATTAGATATTAATACTATTAGGAAATAAGGAAATAAGTAATTGTCTCACTCAAGTATAAAACAAGTCTAATATAATTACGTATTTGTAGAATATTGTTCAAAATGTGTTCACCTGTAGATAATAATGAAAATTGTTGCAAATTGTTATACTTACTACTAGCATAAATGTGTACCTAATTACATAGTTATTCATACTTATATATCAGTATTACTTACTTCAATATACAGTGGTCCAAATAAATGGGTTATCATTTTTATACAGTATATTATTCGGTTGTATAATTAACATAACCACTCCTGTTTCGCTACTCGATATTGGAGCTAGTGGAGGCAATTTTTTTTCATTCGCTAAGTTAATTTGCGTCGATAGCGTGTTTACTCATTAAAAGTCGCTTTTGTGGCAAAGAGCTGGAAGTTGTAGTGTTCAGTAGGCACATTCGCTAACTGCTTTTAACAGATAGCAGTGATAATCTTAGTGATCCACTAATTACTGCTTTATTATAACGCCTCTAAGATGACTTGTTCTGAAAAGCATCGATGGATTTGCAATTTCCTCTTTAGATCTCTCTCCAAATTTAAGAGTTATGCTCTTGTCGGTGCTGTCTATGGATCCTCCGCCATCTCCCTCTATCCTCCGCCAACTCTTTAAGCCCCCTGCACGATTCGATGCCAACCTTTTCCTTAATTTGCTTAGTGTAAGCTATCCTCGGTCTTCCCCATCCTCTCTTTCCTTCCACTTTTCCCTCAATGATGTTCTTTATGAATTCGTCGTGTCGCACAAGGTGGCCGAACATTCTTAAGTATCTGTTCTCCAGTGTGTCGATCAAAGCTTTCCGTTCACCCACAATGTCCAATATCCTTTCATTTGACAGTTTTTCGGTTAAACTAATTCTTTCCATCCTTCGCCAGCACCACATCTTCATTCATTCTCTTTAGTTACACACTGTAAATGTCAATAAAGTTAGCGAATAGGCCGGCAGGTCAGGAAAGTCCTAGCCAGGTGTCGAATCCCAATCTGACAGTAAGAGTCGGTAATAATCATATAGGTAGGTACTTACCGGCTTAATCGAAATTCAACTTCAATACATTGCCGCCGCATTTTCAAAGACGCTCTATTCGCGGTCCTTCAATACGTCGCAGAAGGTAATGTACTGCGCTAGCAGGATTGAGATGTAATATATGCAAAACCGTGATTTCGAGTTAAGTATTTTTTTATAAATAGGTCCAAATAATTAATAACTCTATCCCACATGATATTCAGTGACGATGGAGTCTAGGCACGAAGTTTTTAGTTAAAATACTTATACTAAACTTTGTTTTGGTACTAAACTTTGTTGAGAGTTTAGGGGTTGAATGAACTCTTCGACCTCACACACACTCCTGAACGAAAAACTAACTCATGAGAACGTGACATGACGTCACACTTTTTCGTGCGTGCTCATAGATTTATAAAACGTTATCACGTCAAAAAGGTCTACAATTATTACTACTTTAAAAATAAATATTAAATAATAAGTAACTAAAAATCCTTAACAAAAATGTAAATTTTCATGTGATAGACATGTTTAAAATTACAAATAAAAAGTAAATACTCGATCAATGCTGATGTATTAAGACATATGCTACCTGATACAAATAAGGCTTATGCTGAAATAAGGCCTGTAGTGCAGAATAATCTACTAAAATATATACACATCCAAAATACTTTACGCACGCATAGACAACAGTTCTACAACTCGGAAAACTGTGTACGAGCGGTCCGCTCGAGCTCATTGCGTCAGATCATAGTTCATAGCGCGTATTTTTTATCGAATTTTATTACGTTATTCTTTGAAGTTTTGAATATAACTAATCAAAAAGTTAACTATGACTTATAATTGAAATTTATATATATATGCGAATAAAATACTGCATATAACATTTACGAAGTATAATGTACTACTTAAATAAAGCCTTCTTTTATAATAAGCCTTATTTCTGACCCTTGTCTTGTTTAATAACCTACCTTGTTCAGTTAAGGCCTATCAAAATATATTCATTTTTCAATATTTAATAATAATAATATTTTTTGAGAAGATATGTTCATTTGCTTATTTTTGTAAGTATGCGACTTTAAATCTGACTTGCAATTTAAGCAAAATATTTAGTAAAATAACTTAAAATTTTGTTCAAGGATCCCATGGAAACACTTGATTAAAGGCTCAGAATTACATATTTTAATATAATATATACTCTAATAACAATATTCCTATAATTTAAGTACATTGGCTTTGTTAAGTCATCGTGTTTTACAAAGGCCTAGAGCTGAGGTTCCAGAATTAACTCTTTTTAAGTGATTTTTGTTAATAATAGATTGGAATATGTTTTCTTAATTATGAACCAAAGAATAATGCCTTGCTTTTTTATCACCTTCTTCGAATAATTAATCATGATATGAATGTTTGAAATTAGGTAGGCCTTATTTGTATCATTTACCTTAGTTTAGGTAATACCGATTTTCCATTGGGGATCCAATCCAATTTCTTTATAGCTAAGAACTAAGAATCTATCAATAATTACTACTCACGTTTTTTTAATTAATTTTACTATTAATTTACTTAGTTTCGAAATAACAATATAGTGCGTTTGGAAATTTGCAAATAAATTGTTGTGTACATTAAATAACCACGACTTAATTGACAATGAACAGTACGCCAACAGAAGACGGAGAGCATGAGGAGTTTTTAAGTGAATTCAACATTATTGTATTCCGGATGTTTATAGCTGTATCTCATTTGACTCAGACAATAACAAAATCTAGCATACAATCAAAAATAGTATTTTAATATCTATTTAAAGAGTATTTTAACAAGTTTAAGCCAAGATTTAGAGCCGCTTTCGCGTTAATAATTTAAAATACATTTAACATAAGAACATGAAATTTACTAAATATTTGGCGTCTAGCTGAATAATTGTGTAAACAATAAAAAATACAAATTACTGAATGTTACCGATAGCAAAATATTTTCAATTCATCGGTTATCAGTATTTTTTCAACTATTACTAGAAGACGCCCGGACAGATTCGGAAAATTCATTTTTTGAAGTGAAAACTTCTTTAGCGGCATTGTACACTTTTTTTGTATGGGTAAAAAATGTTAAACTCGCGTCATGTCACGTGGGCTGATCGCATCACAGGCCACGTGTCCTGATAGTAAGACGAAAATAATAAAATTGGAAAGGTTGTTGACTTTCAATATATTGGACGAATCATAGTTATATTATATTTTATCGTATTATAATAATAAGTCTGTATCTAGGACGTCCAGGTGGCAGCTTTATTGCGAAAAAAATGCATTTTTTTACAATAGATGTCGCTAGGTGCGCTTAAATGAGAAATTCTGACAGATAAACTTTTTAATGTAATATAAATTATCATGTTTGTGTAATTGTGTAAAATATTGTATTCTACCCCATAAATGATAGTACTTTCATACTGATAATTAAAGAAATTCGTGCAAAATTATTCCCTAACCATTCCAAAATATCAAAAAAGCACAACGTTAATATTCAAGTTTTCATTTCTGCCGGCACTCCCGGAGTGCAACCCGTCGTTTTTTTTTTATGAAGGATATACTTCGTAGATAGTCCCATGGTCATCAAATCAGGATCTCACGACGGGTTCCTGGAGAAATCAAGGGAGCTCTTCAATACTTATAGGGACATCTATAGAATCAGTACCAATATTTATAACATAAACTTGTCCATTTACGTTCGGAAGACGGGATTTGGTGAACTGAGGATGTAGACCATGGATAGCCACTGGAACTAATCTATAGGTACATATAATAAAGTGATAGGAAAATCAAAACTGTACATTGAATTTTTTTTAAAGAATAATTGGGGTGTGATCTACAATCGATACCGAAGCCAAAAATATAGTTTTTAGAATTTTTGTCTGTTTGTCTGTATGTATGTCCGGGATAAAGTCAAAAAGTACTACATGCTTTTACTTCAAATTTGGCACGAATATTATTAAGAAGTCGGGTCAACATATAGGCTACATATTATCACGCTATCACCTACGGGGAACGAGCAGTGAACAGGGGTCAAAAAGTATGTACAAATAACTAACTCCACGCGTACGAAGTTGAGGGCGGCCGCTAATCTATACTAATAAAATGGTAGGAATATCAAAACTGTACATTGAATTTCTTTAAAAAAGAATAAATCTTGGGGTGAGATCTACAATCGATCCCGAAGCCTAAAATATAGTTTTTAGAATTTTTGTCTGTTTGTGTGTTTATCTGTTTGTCTGTATGTATATCCGGGATAAACTCAAAAAGTACTGCATGGATGGCTTGAATATTATTAAGAAGTCGGGTCAACATATAGGCTTCATATTATCACGCTATCACCTACGGGGAACGAACAGCGAACCTTTATTTCTAACTAACTCCACGCGTACGAAATATATTTATAAGATAATACACCATTCTAAAAATTTAAAACACAATTTCTTCAGCCACAAGAAATGTACCGTTTAAAAGTACACATCTTAAAAATGAATACTAATTATTTACAAAAAGCAGAAAACAAGATGAACTGAAGCTCATTATAAGAATTCACTATTTTTTATTAGTACGCCTAATGTTCAGAAGTGTAATGTAAAAGACATTATGACCTTACGATATTAAAGAGTAAACCTATAACATTTAGAAAAATGAGCTGATTAGCCAAATCATATGTAGGGACAGAAACATAAATATTTGTAGGGTATCCATAAGACGTTTGAGGAAAAACCTAACCTGCGTTTAAAAAATCATTATTCGAACCCAACGTCACTCGTTTAGCACAAGTGAACGAAACAGCCACATTGGCACCAATAATAATCTTCACACTGTGACATGGCCTTGAGGATGATTCATCAAATATTTTACCTTTTATTACTCTGCTCATTAAACTCGGGTAAGTCTCAACTTAATTGTTATTCATCTTAATCATCGCTTTAAAATAGAATAGTCATGATAAATTAATTTCATTTTAAGCGCCACGCGGGCAGTATGAGAAATGAATGTGAATGCTACTATCACAAATGCCCATGACGTCTTTTCTTCTGAAATTAAATTATGGGAAGCCCGTGCTCCAGCAGTGGAAAAAAAATATTTTCTTGGGGATTAAAAATAAATATTTATTTCAAATATTTTTATTAATTCATTGAGATAAAATTTCGACATGGCATTTCATCTGAATACAATTCGTTTTCCAAAGGAAGACACAGAATCCGGGTTCATCGCCACATATAAACCGGGTAGGGCACCGGGCTTTCTTGATTCCGCGCGCTCTCTTGAAATCTAGATAACGCAAACCATTTCAATTAATAACAATATTTTTTTTTTATAATTGCCACACAAAAAATAAATTGCATTCAGATGGATGGGTAGATTGCAATGTCACCTTTTTAACCCTCTTGATTCAATTAATATACACATCTATTCATATACTTATAATGAGATTGTTTTCGTGAACGTAAATAGATACTTCCTCTTATTTTGATATAAGTACTTGCTCAGGTTAAATTAGTCAATTAACATGCAACAGAATACCATGTGACCTAGTGTCCCATTATTCCTCAACACATAGAAGCAGTATCTAAAATGAATAATAACTTCTTAAAATTATTAGTTTCGTCCCGTATAACATAAACATTCTTTTTCAGTAGATTTTTGACTTCTTAAATCTTAATCTGCTGAAAAAGAATTTTAAATACTTAGTTCATTCGCATTGTATTTTATTAAAAAACCCTATTGTAAAACTCAGTGTTCGATTGTTCACTAAATATATCATAATTTATTTATGATTCATACAGTGCTTTCGAGACACGTTCCTCGCTACGCTGATTTAGATGAAGAGGATCAACAACTTTTCCGAGCTGCGTACGACACCCCATCCTACGACCATGATGAGTACGAGGAAGACGACGCTAAATTGGACCTAATGAAAGACGGCCTTTGGGCGATCAAAGCCAAGATCAAGGAGTTGAAAGCATTCGACAAGGCCCTCGCTGCGAACATGCTTTCTACAAAATTGAAGGTCAAAGATCTATTGGAGAACCATATGGGTGAAATAATTAAACACAATCATAAAAAGAAGCCTCCTTACGATTATCAGGTAAGCAGTTATTGGTAAGGGGCTGTTCATTAATCATGAGAGGCTTGAAAGGGGGGAGAGGGTAGGGTCCATAAAAAATCACGATATATCACAAAGTAGAGGTGGGGTAGTAATATATCACGTGTATTTCCGTGGTCAGAGGATACTGTACATTAAATAATCTTCACGTATTAGTACAAAAAAGTTTTTCGCATTTCTTTCATTACTTTTATGTCAGTCAAAAACAACCTGCAACCTTTCTGTCTTAAAAACTTAGTAAGTTATTATTGGCAGTTTTTAATTTTCTTTAATAAAATAAGATGAAACTTATACCTGTTTTTTCAAAATATTAAAAAAAAAATGATTCTTTGTAGGTAGTAAAAAATAAACTTGATATAGGCGCAAGGGGAGGGGATAGTCTTAAACCTCACCACGTATCACCAAGGGTGAAGGGGGGGGGGGGGGGTTATAAAATGCCATAAAAACATCACGTGGACATTAATGGACGGCCCCTAATAGTATCGCACGCATCTTGAAAGTTTCCATGAAACTAAGCAACGCTACTACCAGACGTAAGAATAAACGGACTCCTTCCAACCAAAATTTGACGATGACGATACGATTAAGGAACTGTTAAAGTTCATGCTTGGGCCCCTGATCGAAAAATCAAAAACCCCTTTTATTGATTACGAGTGTTGATAAATTCAATAAGAATGGAAAAAATGCAAATACTTATCTTTATCACTTGTCTACAAGATGATTGAAAATAAGGTTAGAATAAGTTTATAACTGCTGTGCAAGCTATCTTCGCGTTTGGACTTTATCACCACCATCAGGTGGGGCAGAGTCATTTGCCTGCTTGGCTATATTAAAAAAAACGAATCAAATGTGCGATAACAGGACGAATGTAAATATATTTTTAAGTAATGTTACTAAAGTTAACATAAAATATATATCTTATAATTATTCCTATAGTCTTACTACACCAAATAACTTACGTCCCCATAGCAACTTGGCCCTACCAATATCTAAACTCAAATTAGTCCAAAGTAGCCCTTTTGCAATGTGTGTCAAAATATACAACAGATTGCCATTATCTTTAAAAAATGAGAGTTGTCTTACTGGATTTAAAAACAAATTGAAAAAGCTCCTTTGTTCAAAGGGCTACTATACACTGAAAGAGTATTTTAATGACAAAGAATTAAAATGATGATTTTTAGATTTTTATTGTGATATAATTTATTTAATATTATAATGTGTAATTTATTTAATGCAATTTTTATGACATAGAATTTATTAATTTTAAGATTTTTAATTTTGTAAGATTTCTGATGAGTTTAAATTTATATTTATTTATTAAAAAAATTAACAAGCTCTTTAAAGCACATTGCTATGCCCTAGCTGGGTTCGTGTAAGGATCTAAATGAACGCTTTGTAACACCTCTGGACAACTACATGAAATAGCAATAAATATAATTATGATTACACTGGAACGATATACCTAATAGCATTTTTCGAGCGGAGCTCGATGGCGCGGGTGGTTCACGCGTTCGGCTGCGATCGTTGAAGTTAAGCAACTTCAGCAGGGGTCGGTCATTGGATGGGTGACCAAAAATCTTCTACCTCAAGTTCCTCCGTGCTACTGAAGGCAAGTTAAGCCGTTGGTACCGGCTGCATCTGCAGTCGTTAGCACCGCCAATCCGCACTGGGGCCACGTGGTGGGTCATGGCCCAATCTCCCTATACCATCCATAGGGAAGGCCAGTGCCCCAGCAGTGAGAACATTAATAGGCTGATAATGATGATAATGATTTTTCGAACCATACTTATTCTTTGAAAACAATACAATACACAACTAGTTTCTGCAACCATACATTGTGGACGACCTTCATAGTAGAGTGGTATGTACACCGGTTACATAAATTTCTTTAAAAAAATATTTATGTATAACGACATATTAGCTCGATGGCACAGTGATCTGCGCGTCCGGTGTACGATCGTGGAAACTAATTTTTGCAACGGCCGGTCACAGAATATAATGACGAAACTTTTATTATTTCGAGCTCCTCCCTAGTTCGCAAGGCAAGTTAAGCCGTTGGATCCCGGCTGTATCTGCAGTAGTTAGTAGCCACTAATTCACACTCGGCCCGTGTGATGAGTCATGACCCAATCTCCCTATTCTTATTCTATCTAGGGAAGGCCCCAGCAGTGGGAACACTTAAATAAATCTATAAGTAACTTTAGCATTGTGTTATTTGTTTTATCTGCATAGCTGTGAAACTGTTCTCTTCCTCTCGAAACTGAATTTGTTGTTTTTAATCAAATTTTAAGACCTATATAAAATTATTAATTTGTGTTGTTTACAGGCACCCTCATACCAGCCTCAATACGGCGTACCACAGTACGGAGCCCCGCAATATGGAGGCGCAGCACCACATTACGGTCACGATCCCTACTATGGACATTAAAACTTAACTAACTACTCACTTACCCATATCAAAAATACAACGAGCTAAGTTTAATTAAACACTATACCTACATAGTTATCATACAGATTAAATAAACTATTTATAAGAAATTATAGACTTCCGCAACGCTGGTCGTTGTGTAAATCAATTCAAATTAAATTCTCCCTATCTTCTTTGTTCGAAAGAAAATGGTATTGAATTTAGTGGCTTTTGTTACAGCTATCTTTTTATATAATAATAATATTAATAAAACGTTTGGAATGCGATCGCTTTGTTTCAATATTGATACCGAGATATAGGCTTGGTCTGTTCCTCATTTGATCGCTCAGAACTAGTGCCTGTACGTCATAAGAAAGTGCATTAATATAATAAAGTCTTAATTGGCAAGGTCACAAGCAGTGTTAATGCCGTAGGTAGAACGCGGCGCGCGCGCAGATCACTCGTGTACTAGAAGCGGGTCGCTTTTTCAGATTCGTAAAATCGAATAGTGAAATAGAAGTCTTCGCTTAGTTTTACAGAGTGTCGGGAGCGGTCGGGTGCGGAAAATTTTACTATCATTGAGTTCGTTCCCCAAAAATGTCTTTGTTAATTATACCTGAAAAAGTGGACATGTCCTTATCAATACAGTAGACTGATAGAGATTATTGTCACTAAGGACTAGATCCTTGGTTGCGGCGAGATGATTAGCAACCTATGGATTATTCTAATGGTATGTATTTTATCTACTTAAAATAATAAAACGATGTTTGTTTGTTTACTAAGTTAAAAAAGAAAAACCAAAAAAAAGAAACTAACAAAATAGATGTACACTCTTTAATCTGAATTCCGATAATTTATTAATAATTGATCGATCCGTAATATATTTCCGTCTAAATTGTTAGATGGTAGTTTTTAAGATATCTCAAAATTAAACAACTTTGTTTGTTTGCCAGGCCAATTATGCAACGCATTCATAAAAGATATAAATAATAATAATAATAAGTTAGTAAGCTAGTATTAGATAAAAGAATAATAAATCGAATTAGACCATAAAAAATACACTTCACATAATAATTTTATGACCTGTTAGATATATTGTAGATATTAGTGGGGGCTTAACTTACATAGTAAACTTATTTCGAAAATAGCTGCACTCTTGACTTAAAGAAGTGTAATAAGTACTTACAATTCAAGATATATACCATTTTTAGTACCTACTCCAACATAATTTAATAGCAGATAATAACAAAGGGCTTTGTATAGCAATTTTGGAGAAAAACAATGTGTTTTTATATCGTCTAGTGTACAATTATTGGTTTAAGTAGGTATTATGTACCAAGTAAAATGTTTATAAACACAAGGCCGATCTTCTTTTTTATTTTAATGTTTCAGCTTTTAGCTTTCTAATATTATAAATGTGAAAAGTATGTTTAGATATTTGTAAGTTAATATTAAAAAAATGAGCAAGAACGGCACATATGGAATTTCAATGAATATAGGTAGTAATATTGAGATATTTATTGCGCAATCTTACAACATTATTCATACATACTTACATATAGTGGCTGAATAAAGTTTAATTTGTTCATTTAATTTCTCAAAAAATTGTGATAACTTTATTATGTTATAACTATCAAATTTGAATAAAATATATATGTTGCACTACTATAAATATCTATTAATAACAAAGTGAAATGAACATTAAGTATTTGTTTGTGGGTATATTCGTAGTTGGAATACATCTTGGCTAAGTAGCGTACCTAGCATATCACTCCTGCAACTATGATCTGATCTGATCTACATATATATCTGATAGAATTCTCAAATAATTTAACCGTATTTTTCATATTTTATAAACGGTCATTTCTGTACGCCACCACCAGCAGCAGTGTGATGGTATACTTTTTTTTTAAACACACCAATTAGCCTAGCCCCAAAGTAAGCACAGTAAGGCTTGTGTTATGGGATACTAGAGTAACGGATAAAATACATATACTGTACATATATAAGCATATTTATTTAGAAATACATATTAAACATCCATGACTGGAGTACAAACGATCGAGTACGATCACACAAACATCTGCCCCCACCGGGATTCGAACCCGGGATCTCTCGAGTCGGCGACACCATGAAACCCGGCGTACCAACCACTCAGCCACGGAGGTCGTCGAATGAATTGAAACTAATTTCGTAGGAACGCTCTTTGTACTTAATGAATACCAAAACTCTTAGAATCTTTTAAATTTTTTTGTTACAACTTATGAGCAGCTTATCAGAAAGTGGACGTTCTAGTAGGAAGCGCTTTCCAGCTGTACAAGGCTTGTTGGTGTTGAGTAGAAAGACCAACTTGCCTATTTCTGTAAATTTACAATGAATAACTAGAAATTTTGAATAATCAAAGCAGTATAGTACTGGCGCAACCAATACGATGCGATATAAGAAGTGTTTTCACACATTTTTTTTTATTTTCTTTGAGTAAGAACGACTTCAACTCAATGAGACCGCGCCAAAAATAAAAAAAATCCTCTTGTATATTTTTCTGAATGCTCAGTAAAATTATGTCACAGCACCGCAACGTCAAACTTAGAGTATACTCCTACTTATTTTGGCTGATCAACTTACATCGGCTAGTGATCATTATAAAAGGTCCAAGATCTATATAATATGGCCAAGGACAGTCTATTTATATAACCAATCTTCATTAAAAAACTCTTAGAGAAATTAATAAATACTTATTATTTAAAAATTAATGTGGGTACAGAAAAAAAGTACCTAATTATTTAATAATGATGATGAACTTCATAGGCCATTAATTGCCATCTATCAAACAAACCTGATAAACAAAAGAGTGGGTGGAAAAAGAAACAGGCAGTCACATACGAGCTGCTAAATAAATGTCAGTGTGCTCTTTACAAAAACTGGATCGGAGGAGAATTCTGCTCTAGTTGAGGGCGATACCACTTCCTGTTGCTCGCTCCTTTACTTTTTATTTTTATGAACGAAGTCGGCCTATGGTTTTGTTCGTCCTACAGGTGAATTGAAATATAACCAGACCAGTTTCTGCGCGTGATATCGTCTGTTTCACTCCTTATGCACTAGAACCCAAAGGCGTTCAATAAATAAAAACAACGTGCGAGTGATATTAAGGCGCCTTTTTATCGAATCGTTTCGTTTCTGTACCAAATCTGTACAGAGGCGATGACGATACGTTACGGAGCAACGTAGATGTCAAATATTCGTGCTTGGGCCTGTGATTCTTTACCGAGAACCACTTCTTGGCCCACACCGGTTTCGGTGTTGTATCGTTTCGTTTTGTTTGCTACGGTGTTTGTCATTTGTAAAAATGTCGTTACGTCGCGCGGGCGAGTCGAATTGTTCAGTAGAATTCGGTATAGAGAGGTGTCTGTGCGCTCGGTGAAGAATATTTACCAAAAGGACTCAGTGAGGAAGGTCTCACTTGGTACATGGAGTCGGTAAAGAATCTGTACAAATTCGGTACAGAAACGAAGATACCGAACCGATCCAGTGAGAAAGGCGCCTTAGTAAACAATCAACTATTAACTTCGTTCTAACCGAGTGTTCCACGATACCTAAGCATTTTAATATTTAATTTATATATTATATTTATTACTTTTGTTCTTTTGCAAAAGGTGAAATGCTTATTTTGCGTGTCCCTACACCCTAACTATTAATTTACTATATGATATAATAATAACATGTATAGTTTTGGAATGTACTCATCAAAGTCTTTGATTTAAAATATCCATATTGTAATTATCAAAGAAAAAAACTTATTTGAAAATGGGACTTTACCTTCACCATCTTCTTTTTGGAATGAAGTTCCTTATCGCACGTTACGGTCAAGGCGGATAGGGCTAGGCTAGGCGAAAATAAGTGTAACATTTTTCGATTTTCCGTCGGATCGTCAGCTGTTTTGCAGTGTTATTTTAAACTACGTTCCAATCGTTGTTTTTTTTTACAAAAGAATCATAGCCAGTGTCTTTTGTGATCATATAAGGATTCTAATTACACCATGTACACCAAAATCTGTTTATAGGCATATGCATATATGAATGCTGAAATTTACATTCCTTTTTATCAGTCGTGTAAAAATAGTTCTGTTCTTAAAAGCATAACAATAAAAATATTCAGTTAGCTGGTATCTTTCTTTAAGACAAAGTATTAAAATAGATACTTAAAGCACGGCGAATTCTTCACAGTTGAAACCTTACTTACATTGTTGTACTTGTCTTGCTTTCATTCGGAAACAATAAGACCGCATTTTACGAGCAATTTGAATTTACAATAGTGACTTTGAAATAAACTTTTAATACAAAGATGCCATTGAAAAAAAAATACTTAAATTACAGTCCTGACTTTGACATTTGAAAGTATATATTTATGCGACTGTGTTCATTCTGGGTGAATGTTTCACATAAATTTCGTTTAGCACTAAGCTAACAAGGCCTTCAAAAAGAGCTTTTTACACAACTGGTAAAAAGTGTAATGTTTTGTTTTCACTCCTTGGGTTTCAAAAAGACCTATTTCTCTTGATCGATTTGCCTAAAATAGCTTTTCTGCCGAAGAAAGAGGGCCTCTTGGACACCAACACTAATATGGGCTTACCACCTTATTCAAAGTAAATGTCCCAAGACCGAGGGCAACGAAGTAATGGAGACCCCTATTTTTAAATCTGGAACTGGGCACTAAAAAATCCAAACTGAGCGTATTTTTTTCTACTAAAAAAATTTCATTGCCTAATTCTTTTTCGGTTTATTTAGTTAATTTCATTTTTTTCCTTTGTGTTAATATTAAATTTAATTTTCATAATATTTTTAATGTTTCCTATGAAAAATGCACAGTTAATCTAGTTATATAAAAATCGTTAGTCTCGCTAAAACTCGAGACCGGCTGAACGGATTTATCTTATCGTGGTCTTGAAATATTCGTGGCGGTACAGGGAAGGTTTAAAAGATGAGAAAATATGGAAAATTTTCGAGGAAGATAGTAAAAACGTAAATTTAATTTTCCCGTATAAACTGTTCTATCTTCTTTCCTGTCAAATATTTTACGTTCGTCCCTTTTGGTACGGTAGACTCGGATGACGGACCCGAAATTTCTTCAAAATTATTTTAACCCATACGAAGTACGAGGAGTTTACAAGTATTAAATAAAATCATTATAATATTGTGGATGTACCCTTTGCAAAACACATCTGAAGAGAAATCATTAATTCAATTTTACAACGACTATTTTTTTTCTGAGTTGATCGATAAAATGCTCAATCTATGAGCTAGTTTGGAGGGGTAAAATGAATAATTTATGTAAGTTGACTTAAAGATACAAAGATTACGTTGCAAGATCAATGAATAAGTGAGTACCTATCATTTATATCTATTAAAATGCTTTACTACATCTGTGAAGTAGGTAAGTTATTGAATTACTTTAACTGTTCGAGGATGGAATGCAGAAGACCTTCCTATAAGGTCTTCATAATATAGTACCTATATATTGCGTTCAATAGATATTTTGATGTTGCGTAAAATCATAACAATTATTTTCGTCATCTATAAAAATGGTAATCAGGATTAAAAAACGAAAAATTAGTAAGTACATTACGATAACGGACCGCCATAACATACTTGTATATAAAATGTAATTCTAATGTTACAGCAATAAAATATATGTTTAGTTTGTTTCAAATAATAAGCATACGTAGTATATAAA